TTTGAGTTTTGATTGGTGTAAAGCGTTAAAATATGAAATAAACTTTTAATATTAAAATATGGGTATGGGTGTAAGCTTTACTTAAGAATATTACAGAAACGACTTGGTCAGACACCCATAGGATTTCTATAAGAACTCATTTCTCTCGAAAGTGAATTCTTATATATTGTGCCCACAGAGTGCCCATAAAGCGTCCAAATTTATCAATCTTAAACTTGCCGATTTAGCTACTAGATAAAAAGATATCTGGCTCCACTAGTCTGAAGATTTATACTCACAACGTATTGTAGCATAAACTCGACTAATATATGAACAAAAGCTAAAAACATGCAAAACCCGCATCTCTGCGTGAATATTAAAGACTCTCTCGAACCTTTGTGCATCATCTAAGCCGTATTTCAGATCCGCTCATCTCTGGATCAATGATCTAATATTAACACTTCAAAGTGATTAGCTTATCCGCGTTGAGTTTACGTCTCGACTTAAATGACCAAGCTTAAGAATCAATAAAAATGGCAACACCCAAGTGTGCCCTTAAATCCTTAAGCTTGACTCACACCCACACCCAAATGAGTGCTTAGCTCATAATGAAATTAGAAAACATAACAGAAATAGAAGAAGAAGAATACATAAGAAATACTTGAACTGAAAATAAATACTTACTGGTGCCCACAGAGGGCACACAATACAGTGGCGAGAATAAAAGATGAACTACGAAAATTAAATTACAAACTGAAATTAAACTAGTTCTACTGCTACAAAGCTTAAGAGGATGCTCCAAGGTGCTTGACTAAGTTGCTGGTGGAAAAAGTGGATGATTTGCTTGAGAGAATTCTTCAAATATATAGAAGAAAGGTGGGACCCGGGTACTCTTTGTCCAATTGATAATGACCACCCATCACCACAAGTCTACTTCAATCCTTGACCAAGTCACCTCCTCATTGATAGGTTGCAAAAGGTGAAAAGTACTACCATTAAATATGATAGGAAAGCCATTCCATCATAGTAAAAGTAGAAACTCTTCCAAGTCTTTTCATCTCATAACCGGGTCCAATCTTCCATGCAACCAAATATTTAGATTTGAACTTAGCATTAAATTTCAATAATATCCAAGAATATGAATATCATAATTTTGTTCAAATCCAACTAGATGCAAAATTTACCAACAATAATGAGTTTTTTTAGAAAATAATTAAATTCTTAACCTTTCATCACCTCTTAACATATTTTGGACCAAAAATAGTAGATAGGAGCAAAATGGGTACCAAAGATACAATAAAATAAGGGTAAAGAACAACAAATAACTCTCACAAAATGAGAGTTATCAATAGTACATGCAGAGCTTCACTCAAAACACAAAGCCTCTATATAGTACATGCAGAGCTTCACTCTAGACACAGAACCTCTGCATAGTACATGCAGAGGCCTCTGAGTCTCCTACTTCTAAATCTGGAGGCGAAATCGTTGGACGGGTCTCTAAATTTGGAAAAAAGGACTCCAGATTTTGGAACTCTAAAGCGCCAATTACTCTACGAAGGCGGTTATACCATGAATACGTGAAATTAACCGTCCAAAGGGACACATGTTACTTAAATAGACCTATTTGAACCGTAAGTGAAAATTGTGTCTACGTACATGTTTAGGCGGGAAAAATCAATAACCGCGTCATAGAAACATGACACGTGTCCCAAAAGTTATTTATTTATTAGGATTTATATATATATGACTTTTACTAAATAAACTTCACTGATACGTTCTTATCCAATTTTTACATAAAAAATATCTTCCTCAAACTCTCAAGAATCAATGTCAACTGTCATTGAGAAAGTTAGGGTACGTGTTTTTGGTGAAGGTTCGTGTCAATTAGTCAACGACGTGAAATATTATATTCCAAAAATATAAAAAAACGGTTGTTTTATTGTTGATACACTTAACATTTTCAGTTTTAATGAATTGTTTAGCTAGAAAATTAACTTACCAGATTTACAAAATCGTTTTAAGTTAACACATAAATCTCCGTCATATGCTTAGTAAAAATCAGATATATAAAGGATATAACAAAAAATATCAAAATATAAGTCTAATAAGGGTGGCATGCCAGATGGGTCCCTTAAGCACCACGCACCCAACAGTACTTAACCATCAGCCGCCACCGACAAGAATTCGACCGAGCCATCACATCATTAGAAAAAGGTTCTAAGAAGCCATTATGTAGAAATTGTTTTTTAAGGTTATTTTTGTAATTTGAATTATGGAAGGGTTAGTTTAATAAGAACCCAAAAGTAGATTGGAGAATCATGATTTGAAAGTGTGACATTCATTGGGTTATTATACGAACGTGTGCGTTGCACGTGGGCTCCAAAGAAAGATTTGATAAATAATTATGAGGTTATAAAAGATAAAAAGAATATTAGATAATAAAATTTCGAAATCTTATTGGATGGTTGGGATTTTGAAAGATTTGTATATAATAATATTTTAAAATATGTTAAAAAGGTTTGTTTTTCAAATAATAAATTAATGATGAGATGATTTTATGTAACAACCTCAAATCCATACATTGCATATAACACATATTTCATACATAGAATACATGTTTTCCCCACAAAGGWCCATAAKACARGAGTCTATAACGTGAAATACATAACTCAAAAATTCAAAAAGTACATGCTCTTGTATCCTAGCATCTATGCTCCAAAAACATAGCTAATTAAGATCTTCAC